AAAAAAAAACAATGCGGTTGAGATCGCGTAAAGCTTTGGGACAAATTGTATCGATATCAATTTTTACAAAGGTATTTCATCGCTACTTCAATAACCAGAGTAAAAAAATACGCGTCGTTAATTTAAAAAAAATTGTATAAATATCAATATCGCTGGCAGACGATGAAGATGTAAGTTTATAGAGTTCAACTTGCGTGATTATAATACAAATTGTCAGGATTGTCGAAAACAAATGTGACAAATTGGTCGCATTGATATTTGATCTTTATTTATAGTAACGAAATCCGTACATCTCCAATCGGCTGCAATCGATGAGAATACGTTTGTACGAAACGAAGAAAGATACCTGTGGTATTGGGCCTGTAAAAAGTTGAATTCCTCCTTGATACGATCGCAGGATTCGCCGACCGAAAATTTGAACGGCTGTCCAGGCTGCGGTGGACCCTGCAACACAAAAACGCCATTAAATGTATCAATGCACCATAATCCCTTAACGCCATTAAAGCCCGTAAGACCCTGAGATTTATTCGAGAGACTCTACGCTGTTCCACAGACTCGCAAGTAACTCGAAATCGATACGTGGAGTCGGATAAAAAAATTTTGCTACTTAGGCAGACTCCGTATCTACACTCCACAACAGAAAAATCCGTTAATTAATGCTTTTCCTAAATTTTAATATACATCTCTCTGTTTTTCGTGCCTGCATATCTATAATACTCTTTATTTTTTTTTTTTATTGTAAAAACTATGGTTGAATTTTAGTGACTTCCAGAACCATTCCACTCACGAGTCTTCCACAAGTCAACGATTGGCGGTGAAATAATCTTCTGAATTATATGTATTTCAAACTATTCCACAACTTCAACGCAGAATCATAGTCATATAGATCGGTTTAAAGTTTAACTAGTTTAGGAATTCATGTATATCTCATTTTGATTCAGGTTTCATTGCATTACACGTACTAAGTACAATGTAATAATAAATATAAACACAGGATAGTGCGGTAAATTAATTTTGTCAGTTTTTCACTTGAAAAAAAAAAATATATATATATATAATGCCTTGTTATTATTCGGCCAAAGTGATTACTGTTGCGCCTCAAGCTTAAAGAAATCAAACACTTATAATCAACTGCAAGAACAGAAACAATCGCGAAAAAAGGTCATATTCGGCCTTCGTGCTTAATAATATTTTTTGTAAATTTATACAATTTCCAGTTCGGGCAAGCTACGCGCCGATTGTTTGTCGGTCTTGAAACAGAGTCGACAACAATTTCAATAATTTCAACCGGTATCACACGTCGCGAGTAACTCTTAATTAGATTTCTATTCCTCAAGTGCATTTTTACATTTATGCCAATTAATTAGATATTACATAATAGACTATTTTTGCGAAGCGTGCTGTAGCAAACGCCGAGTTACTTTGGTGGTTGCAGTATCAGCATCCACGGGCGTAAAAGCCACATTATTGCCGGTAGTACCGGTGCTACCCGCCTCCGTATATACCTGTTGGTAATAACGTTACGAGCATGTTATCGATCGTTTTGCACGTCGTGCCCTGCAAAACGGATACGCCACTATGGCCTCGTAAAAGCCGGAATATACTTCCCTCTCCCTTTCTCTCTTTCCCCCCGTCCAATTTTCCCGTGTCGTACGATCTAGATTCCGCAGCGAGCGGAGTACATATGCCGGAATATCGCGATGTTTCGTGTGAGGGGGTCGCTAATGATTCGCTGGCGATCGCGATCGCGTAATGAAAATCGTGCCAAAACTCGTAAAATAAAGATCAACTTTCAGGCGCGTTACTGCACTAATGAGTCACACGTGATATCGTACCCGGTCGTACTGTATACAGTGGGCAAAAGTTTCCGACTGGTAACATTTTGTATTCTAATTTATAAAAAAAAAAAAAAGCCTGAGATAAAACTTTAACCATTATCGGAGGGGGGTCAGTACAAGATGTGGATAACGAGATCTTGTATTAACATCTGATAATGATTAAAATTTTATCGGGCCTTTTTTCAAACTGGCCGGAAACTTTTGCACGCCACTGTATCGCGGCGCTGCTAGTTTTCTCTGGTTTAAAAACCGGAGATTTCATTTATCTTACTGAAGATTGCCTGCTACTTTCAAAATTATTACTGTATTGTAACGCGCTCTTTGAAAAAACGTAAAAAGAGTGGCATCATCAAATAAATGTTTTCCGTCGGTCAGAGAACCGAAGATTCGTTTTGAAGAACCATAATTTCTGGCGGAAAACCGCAGATCCGACAACCATGCACTGTATATAATATCAGAAACGCACTCGTATTATAATATTATATCGTATTATAATATTCGACAAACGCTTCCTTCTTTATAAACATTTAATTCTTATTTTCAACTCTTACACTGTTAAATGTAGTAGTATGAAATTTAATCTAATTTTAATTGCCACTGCACCTACTAAATATATCATTATTTTAAAGCAATGGAGTTGAACAGTTCAAATTGGGTTAAATTTAACACTGTATGGTGTCACTAAATAGTGTCAAATTTATCTATTTAGTTACAATATTTATATACAATTTTGTTAAATGCACAACTTTATAAATACTTTCTAAACGAAAAAATGTTTAAGTATATGTAAGAATTGCTTAATAATTTTTTGTATATTTAATTTGTGTGTTAAAATGACGAAAAAAATTAACCCGGGACACGAAAGGCCCAGTGTGTGTAGTGAGAGACTGAAAAATTATATGTACTAAGGTTAAAAGTCGTCCCCCTTATTGTCTTGTTAAAATCTCTTACGTTTTACAACACGCCTTTGTATTTTACTGAAAAGTGAAAATAATATTCCAAGAGAAGACGCGCGATGTAGATCAACGTGATCTTAACACGTGGTAGCTCTCAAAAATTTAAGCCACGTAGCTGCTCGTAGTCACTGTAGCGTGTTTTATTAATCTTCACGGCTTCGCAAAGGGCTTCTCTATCCGTTGCATTATCGCACGTGTATGTTCGAATTACGTCGGAGGATTTGTGCGCCAGGCGTGCAATATATTTAAACGGCTCAAGCTCGGAATCGGCAAAGTTGTACCAGACAACATTGCATATCTCGCTCGCTCTGACTTGTTATTTGCGGATGCATGTACACAGAAGCGCTCATCTTCCGCGAGTGACTTTTAAATGCGACGTAATACGAGTAGATTCTGTTGCCTACCGTATTAAGGGACGGAAGAGCGGAGTTAATGCAAATTGGCTAACAGCTGATCGTAGCGGAATCGCTGATCCGATTTGTATGCGACAAGTCACGACGGTCAATCCAATTAATTTATCAGCTTTCGCTCCGTGGAACAGAACAGTAGGCGTCAGACGTGCTTGCTTGGCGTTTTCCAGTAGCTCCGTTTTATAGATCGATAAGGCAAGAATGTCGGTCTATCGAAACACCGAGAGCACTCAGTAAAACAGATTTATACTTATAAAGTCCTCGCCGCATGCATAATTACATGTAAATTATGCTTAGTGATAAAGTCAAAACACATTTACTTAATAAATATGGAAATATCGAAAGTAACATGTTACGATATTACAAATGTCAAAAGCAGAAACAGTATCTTGCCAGTATATTTTCTAGAAATATTCATCGGTTTTAACATTCGTCGAACGGATGAAATGGAGGCTAGTGAGTAGTCTTTCGAGTTTCGCATGAATGAGCGAAACGGAGAACGACAACGGTCAGAGTCCCCCGTCGAAAAGCGAAGCGCGCGAATTATGTCGTTTTCGACGAATAATAATGAGAGAACGTAGCCGTCGCGTACGTCAATCAGTGTCCTTTACGTGCCGTGGCCGATTTAATTATCCGATAGCCTCCTCTCTCTCCCGCATCATCATTTGATGGCCCCTCTTTCCACGCCGCGCTTTTTATTCCGCGCGATCGAGAGCCATCGCAATAGCGTGCGCGCGCGCGCGTTCGCACCGGGGCGGTATTCAAATAGCGCGTTATCGGCTCGACAACCCCGTGAAAACGATAGCCGGGGCCGGATAGCGACGGACAAGAATTGGCATTAAAGCGCAACGATCGGCACGATCGCGCTTTTATTGGTTTTCGAGTCTCGCGCGACATTTTATACATCCCGGCAGATACCGGATTACCGTTTCGCAGTATATTATCGCGGACAACTCAATGAAGCGAGGAGGCCGCTCAATGGACGTTCGTTAAAGCCGACGACGGGGCGACGTCGTCGTTTACAGTCACTCTGTCTCTTCGTCCGTCAAAGAGCGAGAGCGAGCGAGAGAGAGAGAGAGAGAGAGAGAGACGAAAGCAGAGGAGAGAAGAGGAGATGACGAGTCGACCACGCCGTGTTATGTCCTAACGCTAACAGCAACTGGACCAATCAGTTGCGTTTGCAGCCACTCAAGTACGCTTAAGTGGCGCGTATCGCTGCGTCTAATTACGTTAGCTCCATCGATCCCGCCGTCCGTCATCCACTAGATGCCTGATTATCGGCACGTATTATCGGACAGGTTAACTGCTCTCTACGATGTCCCCGCCTGTGATCAAGTCCGTAACCAAACACGAGGCACGCGCGCGCTCAAGTGCCAAGAACATTTGCTCATCTCGAGCTACGAGCTAAACGGGCATTGTGCCCACATTAGGGTCGCGTCTAAAATGGAAATGCCACTGGAACGATCAGATATATCATTTAGATATACATACATTGCGCTCTTGAACGCAATACAGATTCATTCTCGTTCTAAAAGTATGCTGCCACAATCTGTCAACTTTTAAGCATTGATTGATGAAGCGCTCGAATAAACACCCTAAAAACATTTTGTTTTTATACACGGGAAAATAACGATTTTGCTTCGAGCATCTAAAAATTTCACTACAAAGCTGAAAATAATTTTGGCCCATTCCCAGTTAATTAGGTAGGTACGTAGGAATCTCAAACATGATCAACAATGTTACAAAAAGTTTTTTGATATTCTAGCAACCAATTTAAGCATTCCATATACATAATTACTTTGATGTATTTTCAGATCTGTGTATCGAGCTAAATTTTTTAATAATTTAGCAAAACCAATTTTTCCGTGTATTTTTAATAACATAGATATGTATAGAGTTAAATTTACATTATTTACATCCAGCTTGTGAGGTAGAAGAATATAAAAATTTTATGAACTTTAAAAACTTTGAGGCAATATATTTTTTATCGTGTGTGGGATGTTATGGTTATCTACCTGCTTCAAAATTAAAAGTGAATGATTGAAGATTTAGACTTACTTCGATTTATTTCAACATCTCTCTCTCTCTCTCTCTCTCTCTCTCTCTCTCTCTCTCTCCCGTTAAAAGAATAAAACTACTATTAAAGATTTTTTACTGAAACTTGTGAGATACGTAATGAAATTCCTTTTGATCAGTGCCTGTTTTAACTTAACAGACGAGAGAAATAGCTCTATCGGAGC